TGTATGATTATTAGCTCGGCACAATATTGTTTTTTCACATTTTACAGATATTTAGTTATATCCTTAGTGCTTGGTAGCTCATATTTCCACATTACACTTACTGGCGCTGATCACCTTTATTGTTTAGTTTTAGTTTTCTCTTTATATACCCTTTTTTTCTCTCGGTGGGGACACATGTAGTCTTCTTGTTCTCAATCTCATCACCCAATTCACTCTTTTCTTTGGTTTCCTTTTTATTTATCCTTTTATTTGGTTTCAATTTTATTTATCCTTTTATTTTTTTTATATATTTTTATTTTATTTATTCACTATTCTGTATTATTTTTTCCCCCCATTTTTCCAGTATCCTTCGAGTGTACTGTATATGATGTACCCAGCTTTCTTTTCTCTCCTTTTTTTGGCTGCCGTTTTTAGTCTTGTTCTGTGTTTGGATGCTCTTTCCTGCATTAGCTATTTTAGTCAGTCTACTCTATTCCCCCCTCATGTGCCCAGTTACTAATTAAGGGCAATACAGCACAGCAGCATAGGCATCCCAAGTAGCTATGACGCTCTATCCCATTCTGCGCATGTGTGGGTAGGCGGATCACGAGGAAGAGACGTTGCCTATTACTAGGCTACCTCAGCCCCCACTGCATATACGCTAGAAGGCAGGCCTTTCCCGAATGCGCCTAGTTGTTTCATTCATCTATCCCATGGGCTGACCTGAGCAAGCGGCATCTCCGTCACCATGGCAACATTGGCTGTTGGCGGAGAGGTGGCCACGGCACGGGCACTCACACTATGGGGATCATGAGTTTACAGTAAGTCTTTTATAGACTGGGCAGTTGTCAGGTGGATTGATGTGATGTTATCTGTACAGCCTGTATACTTGTTACATTTTGACATGCAATTTGTTTGTTCTCATTTCAATCTTATTCTGCATTTAATACTTGTTTATGGTGGGAACATGACATCATTATGACTTCAGGGGGAGTGGGGGCTGGATTTTGTGATCGATTTTGCACCAGGCAAGTTTGAATTTAAGTCTATTGGTATTATAACATTTTGTCATACTGTGCCTGATGAAAGGACCCTAAGCAGCCCCAAAACGTTGGCTGTTGCTGACAAGATGTACATACATAAAGACGCATTTGGATGAGTCACCTTGGCGTGCTGGTGACATACCACTTTTTCGTTAAAACACTTTTAATGTTACATTTTGCAGACTAAAAGGGACTAAGTAAGAGAAGTTCAGATTTACATACATAGTAATTTAATGCTAGTGACAGGCTGCATCATATTTATGTCATTTTTTATTTTGACCACAGCTAAATTTTCAGACGGAGTGATTGGTTACAAATTAAACAAGGCATGCAGGTACATCATCATATAGGTGGCATATAGGGCATGTTATCACTAAAGTTTAAACGGTTTAATACTAAAAAAACATTTTAAAAAGTAAATAAATAATTACCATCTTCGTCGGTGCGAACAACAACGGGCGAGCTCTCTGGACCAGGTCCCACTGCAGTATGTGCGATAACAGAGATATGATACTCAGTCCATTTTTCTAATGCTTCCAAAACGATCTCAGTGGTCTCAGGTGGAATTTCCTTTACTTCTTTTACTTCTGGTTCCTCAGAGTCCAAAGCACCATAGCGCACACTGTATCCAGCGAGAATGCCATTATGGCTTTCGGGTGGGGGTGGCTGCCAACTTACCAGTATTGTGGTAGACTTTGTGCTGACACACTTTACATCTTGAGGGGGGGCAGATGGTTCTATGAGAGGACAATTAAGGGCAGGAGGGATAGGGCAAGTAGAGAAACAAAAGATGGGAAAGATAAAATAAAAAAGAAAAAAAGGACTACAAAAAAAATAAAAAAATTAAGAACGTGAACTGTTAAGAAAGTAATATGTGTGCAAACAGAAAAAAAAAAGTTTAAAATGAAATGGGAATAGGGGCAAATTATATGGGGTACGTTCTCTGCTCTGGGAAATTTAAGGTTAACTGTTACATGAAAATCTAATTATCTTTAAAGTATTAGCTTACTACCCATATAGAAGCTGTAATGATAAATGTACCACCTGCAGTTATTTAATTGTTTTTTAGTTGAGAAACTGGCCACTTTGCAAGAACATTCGACCAGAATTTTTTTTGACCTAATTAAGAGCTCAGTGAATCAAATCTACAAGTGTTTGCCGATTACTTTTTTCTTTGGCAGTTCATTTTGTACCTGCTTGCTGAATTCTGCAACAGGTTTAAAGTGGCCATAAATGGGACAATTATTGTGTTGATATCGGTCACTATTTCAGAGCTGCTTCTAACTGCTATGTGAACAAGGGTAGGAGCACCTCAATATTGAAGGGCAAGATCGTAAATCACAGTCATTTAAATTCTGCATATTTCAAGGTAGGCAGTAACCATATGACTTTTTCTGCACAGTCTTTCACTCTTGGCCATAAGCGAATGTTTTTAAAAATTCTCCAGGATTTGACCCTGTTTTATGTGCCTGTTTCTCTATTCTTCCCTCTATGCTATGGGTTTATGGTCTCGTTTTCTTGTATTTGTTGAATTACAAGCTAGGCTTTGTTCATATGGATGCTTTTCATATTAGTGATTCCTTATCATAATTATTTTCCTGATAGTCCGGTCAGTTTGCTTTCTATAACTGCCTTTTGCATGCATTAGCATTCTACCCCATTCTTCCTTTATGCCTACTTTTGAAACAAAATGTGCATTGGCATGGTATTCGAACACGAATACATTTTGGTATAACGGCAAAATCCTAAGAATGCAGATTTTGTAAGAAAAACAATCTTCAAATCCTTAGTAATTTTCTAGATTTGTGCATAAACATCTCCCAATGTGTGACCTGATCTTTATCTCAAAATTATAAAGACAATCTTATTACGCAACACATATTTCACATTGCCAAATGGTATATGAATTTATAGGATGACATCTTAAAAGAGGATAACTGGCATAAGGTATTGCAATCAATGTGCTTCTATGTGCGTTCCTCTTTTCCTGCACTATAAAAAATTTTTTAGTTCTCTATTCTTTGAATGGATTCTGTTAATGTGTCATCAGGCCTGATCAAAAGATCTCAGAGGTCCTTAAGACGTGTTAAAGCTTGATGGGGAATTTTTAGGAGATATAGGTCTCTGTCAACCTATAGTCAGGTCTCACTTTACAAACTAAATTCTGTTCCACTACTTATCTCTCCAAGAGTTTGTATATCAGAAGATTGTTGGCTGCTCAAGCAACACATTCCAAAAATACACATGAATGGAAAACTGTATGTAGGATTGGGCTAGAATACCACCCAACTACTTCAAAAGGTCTAGCTGGAGGTAGGTATTGTTGCTAATAAAAACCGGTTTTACTCCTTAAGAGTTCACATAGTGTTTCCATCAATCACATAGCTTGCATAAACTATTTAATAAAGGTATGACAATGTAAAAGGTTGTTTTCATTGCTGTTAAGTTTTAATACAACTCAGATTGTCACATTCTGGGAACCATTCATGCAGAAATCCACCAAATTCTTATCGATTCACAGACTTTTTCTTAATCTTCCACATAGGTTATTATCAAATACAGCCATGTGCTAAAGAAAGTACACTCTCTTTGAATTCTATGCGTTTATGTATCAGAACATACTAAAAATCATCTGGTCCTTCAGCAGGTCTTAGAATTAGGGGCTGCTAATCAAATGCCCTTGATTAACTGATCAATGATCTTAGAGAAGCAATTGTTACTGACCATCAACTGGGAAGGGTTATAAGACAATTTAAAATTCATAATTCTACAGTGAGGAAGATTATTCACAAGTGAAAAACATTCAAGACAGTTTTCAATCTTCCCAGGGGTGGACGTCCCAGCAAATCCACCCCAAGGTCAGACTGTGCAATGCTCGCAGAAATTACAAAAAAAGCCCAAGAGTTACATCTAAGACTCTACAGGCCTCAGTTAGCATGTTAAATGTTCAAAAGTTCATTACAGTACAATCAGAAAAACACTGAACAAATATAGTTTGTTTGGAAGGGTTGCCAGGATAACCTTGGCAGGCCCTTAAAAAGAGCTGGTAATTATTATTATTATACAGGATTTATATAGCGCCAACAGTTTGCTTTACAATATAGGGAAGACATTACAATCACAATACAAATCAAGACGAGATGGTAAGGAGGGTAATAAACAAATGCCTGAAAACCCCAATGAACTGAAGCAACGTTGTAAAGAAGAGTAGGCCAAAACACCTCCACAATGATGTGAGAGACTGAAAGTAATACAGAAAATGCTTATTTCAAGTTATTGATGCTAAAGGTGATCCAACAAGCTATTGAATCATAAGGTGTACTTAGTTTTCACACATGGCTTCTCCATCTTGGCTTTGTGTTCGTAAAATAAATAATGGCATGGTATAATATGTCACGTGTTGTTGTTCATCTAAGGTTGTATTTACCTAATTCTAAGACCTGCTAAGGACCAGATTATTTATTTTTTTATGTCTTGATATGTAAAAGCATAGACTTCTTTTCATACAACTGTAAATAGTTAATTCCGATGGCTATGTATAAACAGCCTTAGGGTAAAAGGGGAACTTATCTATTAAGTTACTCTAGGTAATCAAACCCACGTGTTACAATTTGTAATAGTAGAAAACTACAGGATATCAAAACTTGCTTCATACAGTGCACTTTATGGACCTTAGTATAGTACATAAAATCTGATTAGTTGCTTTGGGTTATTGCATCAAGCACACTATCAATGCTCTTTGCACTGCCTTAAATACATGAGCCAGTACCTGTTTTGAAGGTAGAAGGACTAGTTACTCTATCTTTGCATCCAAGGCCTACTGGCACTTTTAACTGGCTATAGTAAAATCCAAACTCCTGGTTCCCTTGACAATGTATTTATTGTTAAACCTGTTATAATAAAGTCTCAGGACGTTTTGTAATCAAGCAGGAAAAGGATAAAATAATTTAAAAAAATGAACATGAAAGGCTCCAAGTAAAATAAATAAAAGAAAAAACTAAAATTAACAGCATTCAATTTTTTCATCACCTACCTTCTTATTATGAATATTTATATTAGACTTTCTGGAAATAACGGAAAGCAAGAGGCAGAGGCCAGACCTTCTTAAGTGGTCAGGTTATAGGTATAAATTATTTGGCTAAATGCTTATTTAGAACAAGATTCTTCTTATGTTCGGATCCCATTTTGGTTAATTATTGGTTTGATTACTAATAGTGTTCAGTAGACGAATGACAAAATATCAGTAGATACATATGTAAGCTTCTGCTAATCTACTCCAAACCACTAAGTTTGTCTGACCTCATAAATCCTTGCATTATCACTTGGTTTAATTGAGTGGCATGGTTCCTTGCCCCAACACAAAGCACGGCATTCTCACAGCTACCAAGTGGCCTTAACAAGGTACTGAAATTTGTTCAAACCTGGATTTACATGGCAGTTCAAGACAAAGATGAACTTGGCAAATCCTCAGTTCATGAACTTACATAAGGCGTGACAGGAGGGACTGCATTTGAGAAGCTCTGGATTTCTTCACTCACCTGTTCTGCTTTTCAACAAGCAGGCTGATCTCCATGCTCCAAGAAAGACCCTTACTGAACATTTAACTCCTAAAGTACCACACTTTTTTTTTTTTTGCTGATCAATTTCAAACACTGTAGTATTTTCATCTACTAAAACACTACTTTAGAGAATGATTATGTTGATGTTTTACTGAAATGGTACTTAAGTAGTTAAAATATAGTGTCTTCAGAAAACAAGTAAATATACTTTACCTTTAGTTTAATGGATTTTACTTTAAACTTTGATGGTGCTAGATCCTACAACCTAGCAGATATATTTGGAGTGAGGCACGGGAACAAACAGGAGCTTCCTGAAAGCACAATGCACAGTAAGCAAGTGTATGTGTGGGAGAGTATGATAGGGGGCATTGTGTTCCTGCCCATGCATGTAAAGCAAAGCCCCAGTGCAGGAAACAAGATGGTAAACAATATAGACAATGGACAATAATGGACTGTGCAGGCTTCTTTCACAACATAAAGGCCGAGAATAAAAATCATGAACAGTGAAGGAAATAAAAAATAAAAATAAAAAAAAGATACATTGGGGTCTGTACCAAGCCACACCAGAAATGTTTAAGCCAAGAGCTATAAACAAGGCAAGGGTACATGATTCAGACATCATTCAAAATTAAGTTTTATGATACCTTGGAAAGGTTAGAATTAATTTAAAATAACTGCTTAAAAATAGTGTTTTCAGTAACACAATATTGTGTTGTACATAAACTTCTCTTTTTTTCTACGAAACAGTATAAGTTCTAGGGACCTGAAGCAGAGTGTGGGTACACCACTAGATACACTGATACTTTACAGTTACCTCCCATATAGAATCAGGTTAATGCTTTACCACTCAAATGAGAATCATACATTTCTTGTATAGCATGTAAAGTATTGCAAGTGAAAATGCAAACAACGGAACAATGAGTTATGTCCATTCAATAATAAAAAATAAAATGTTTCTCAGATTATTGCATTATTTTACTCCTGATCGCATAACAGCAATGTAAGTGATTTATTGAAATGGAAAAAGACAGGACACACACAGACTAGCTGCCACAGCTCATGCAGTGAAAAACTAAGATATAGGCAAAAAATCTCTGAAAAGCTTTAGTTTATTGCAATAAATGGGAAATCTGCTCCCATGAAACTGCTAGAATCAATCCATTAAACTAAAATAACGC